TTGATGGATCTGGATGTTTATGCACACCCAATATCACAACTCTTCAAAACATGACTTGGTTGCAGAGCCATCCTTACTCTAGAGGTAGGATTGATGCAGGCAACTTTTTTGCCAGAATGCCAGCAGCCTTCTCTGGTCTGGTGCTGTGAAAGAAGATTAGTGAAAGCATCCTTGGCAGTCTTGGTAAACTCCAGGGCCATGCTATCTTGGAATTCTATTGCATCATTGTATCATCGGTAGGGTGCAAGTCAGATTTAGCCTAATGTACATGAGCATCTGCTAATTTCCGATAATCAAACATCACATACTTGAATTGTTTCATATTGAATTGTTTCTTCTACAACAATCAGTCATACTGCCTTGACATCTTGTAATTAATTATAATAATAATAGCATTAATAATGATTACGAAAAGCAAAGTACCAATCATTTGTTTACTAATTGGTGGGAATCTTATAATTATCCAGAAAGATCTGCTCCGTGTTTCGATTCCAATTAAAATATTTATAAACTAAAAGACATATCAATGCAAGTAAAAAATAGCACCACTGGTTAGTTATTAGCACTTCTTCTTTAGGAGAACCATGTTTTGTCTGTCAAAAAATAAGATTGCTTTTCCAAGAAAAAAAAACCAATTCGCATAGTGGAAGTTTGTCATTGCACGAAATTTTATACAGAACCCATTGCTCCTAAAACTTCACCAGTATATAGTTGTTGCCTCTCTAAATTGGAGGTCAAGTTCAGATCCAATTCAAATCCAGTTCATCACTTATTTTTTATTGCCAGAATGTTTGCTGGTATTGTAAAGTTACATTGCACAATATAAAAAATAGTGTAACCTTTCAAATTTCCACTATGCTGTCAAAAAAAATCTTGTGCAACACCAAGTGCCAATAATAATATTATTAATATTATTTGGCTTAACATGTTTTAAAAATTTTTTTTTCAAATTAAAAAATGTCTTCAAAGTATCAAAAGTGAAAAGAAAATCAAGGAGTGGCTGAGGATCAAGGGTAAGTGTTTATCATAAGAATGGCGGTGGTGGTTGCAATGCATTGCAACTCATCATCACTCTAGTTAATTCATTTAAAATCGAGCCGTGTTTTTACCTGAAAATCTACTTTGTTGATACTTTATTAATATAAAAAATTACACAAATTCTGATATGATAAATGCAATGCATTAACCCTTTTTATTGAAAAAATTCGATAAATATGAAAGGTTGCATGCGTTAAAACTATTAGCTACAAATTTATTGTCGTTAATAAAAAGAGCGTTTCTATTCTTTGGGGTCCTCATATTCCGATGCTTTCTTATCAAAATTACTCAATTAATCAATGATGTATTTTATTAATAAAATATATCCTTTCAATAAAATTTAGAACATATTAAAATATGATGTCCTTTAACTACTTTCATATTTTATTAAAAAAATCATTTTAAGACTTCTTGTTTCTAAATTTTTTAAAAAAATGAGGATAATTATTGTGAGCAACTGAATAAACAACCTACAAATATAAATGTCTAAAAGCATCCTACCAAAAAGTTTTTCTGCACTTCTTCAGCAGTAAGACGCCAGTTAAAATACTGAAAATTGCTATTTAATAAAAATGATCATTTCTGCAATCATATGTAGATCGACTTTATGATAATAATACCTAATTTCACCAGTAACCCCTGGAGTAAATGCTAACCCTATATGCAGTGGTCCAGTATTGAACACAACCTTTTGTGTTTGAACATCCTCAATGCCATAGTATCCGACCCATAAACAATCTATGTAGAGGTCTAATCTCTTTTCAGAATCAGAAAGGGTGTAACTTATATGGTGCCATTTATTCAACGAAAGCTGAGTAGCAGTCTCACCAATTCCGACATTACGATCCCAGTTACCTGAAAACGTGCATGCACTGTAGTTTTGTTTGGTCGCAACCAGAGTGAATGGGTACGGATGAAACCTTCAGTGCCTACAGGTGTGTGTATTTTATTCAATTTGAAAAATGGGTAAAAAAAAAAATTTTAAATTCTTTGTTCAATTTACCAAAAGTTTGTGCTTTATTAATTAAAACTGTTCATCTCAACAAATGTTTAACCAAAGTCAAATTTGTTTTCTTTTTATCAGTGTTTGTCAACTAAATAATCACATTCGGGGGGATGTCTAGAAATCATTCTTGCAAAAACTAACCTTTATGAAAGATGCAGGCCCAATCAGAATTAATACTTTTAACTTTCAGATATAGAGTCACTGAAAGCTCGTCTTTCACTGTTGGCAATTCATCATGTTGTACAATTTTGTTTTCAGAAGTGGCCATGGAAATGGAGTCTTCTATGATTTCACAGAACTCTTTTATGACGACTCTCCTCATTTTTTCTTGATTATTAATAATAATAAAAGTTTATTATATAGTAATAAATTATTAGTCAGATGACATTTCACATGATTGATATGTCTACTGTAATACAGAATTTTGTGCAATATGCCTATTAATTTAACCAGAAACGTGATATTTTGCAATTCTTAGATATGTTTACTAAAAAAAATTGGAAAAGAATTACCTGTTGGAAGTTAATCCCTTTTTTTTTTGCGAAGGTGCGATTTCCAGAAATTGTTTTTCAGATTGTCCTAGTACAGTTTTTCAATAGTCGTGTTGCTTTGACACTTATAATCATTTGATTTTAATAATGATTACGCAACACAAATATACCAATCGTTAGTGTTTCCATTCATTAATTCTCTTTTTGAATATTCAAATGCCCAAAAAGAACTATGAATATTCGAAATACATCAGATGACTTTTGGTAATGGATGGATTTTCGAATAGTCATAAATATTTCAAATAAATATAATTATGAATCACTTTTATTTTTGATTAGGACCTTTAGATGGATGTGTGATCTTTTTTTTATTTTACTATTAGTTTCTAGATTGCAAAACAAGACGATGCTTAAGAGGCATCCTTATCGATCACAAAAATAAAAAAGAAAACAAGACGATACTTGGGACAAATCCTTTATTTTGGCAACATAAATCGACGCGGTTTAACCAAATTTGGAATCTATCTGCAAATTTTCACAAGAAATAACCAATTTGTATATACAGCGAATTTTTACCATTACATAGCATGCTCAATTAAAAAATTTGTATAACATTTATTCTCTTAGAATATTGGCAAAGAATAATATGATACGTGCTTTTATATCTCTTTAGAAACATCATTAATTAAAAATTAATTCCAGACTATTTAAAAAGTTTAATTTCAATTTGAATTTAGAAATCATCGTGCATTCCAATATTGTTATTCTTGATCAACTGATCATTGATTTTCAGTAAAAGCCCTCTTTACTTCTTTAGAAAATTCATCATCAATCAAAAAATCCAAACCAACCAAAGTAATACCTTTAGAAGCCATAATGGTTTCCTCATGTGCCAAAATAGTTTTAGCAGCTCCAGTAAATCCTATTGTATGATTGAAATCGCCAGGTAGTGCATGTATATCATACATTGAATGTATACCAGGTACTACATACGTAACATTACCTTGATCAGTTGAGCCACTTGGTAATGCTAATTGTTCATGTTTTGGTTGGAATTTTTTACCAAATACTTTGGTTAAATAATATTCATATCTTGTAGCTAATGGTTCATTAGTTTTAACATCTATTCATTCATAGGTTATTATTATTATATTATTATCATTTTATCATTATCATTATTATTTCAAAAAAATAAGTAAATATTAAATTGCTTTTACCATAAACACCTCTTTTCCAATTAGTTTTTACTTTAGTCCCAGTAGCTTCAGATGCAGCATCGAAGCATTTTTGAACACGTGGTTGTAAAGATCTTAAATCACTTATTGTTTTACCACGAATATAAAAGTGCCCAGAAGTATAATCAGGAATAACTAAATAAATAAATAATATTAAATAAATGGTTATTATTATAGATTGAAATTCAAAAAAAAAATTATTTAACTGTTTGGAGCTTCTCCACCATTTGTAATAATTCCATGAATCCTAAAAAATAAAAAAGTAAATTTTTTTGAATAATGAATTAATTAAAGACTTTTTTTTTTGTTACCTATCAGTAGGCAAAATTTGTTGTCTCAGCAATGAAATATTGTTATAAGCCGAAATTAAAGCATCTAATGCATTAATGCCTAATTGATTATATAAAAAATAAAAAATATTTTATTGATTTTAAATTTTCCAAAAAAAAACCAACATTCATATATATATTTGATAATAAATACCATTCCAAGGATCCCCTAAAAAAATTTTTAAATTAATAAATAAAT